GAGAGAAAAAACCTGAGATAACTTCTTGGGTTACCTGTGATCGCAGTCCTTTACTTGTATACTCAGTAGTAAAGCGAAGATTTTTTACAAGCCCACTTACGGAGTTAATAGTATTAGTATCAATATCAGTCAGTAACAAGCAGAACAAAAGCATTCCGACGTTTGTGTCATTAAGAGATTACACTTCTCACTTAAACCTAGTATATCGTTGTTATGTAAAGATCATCAGTAATGCTGGAAGTAGAATTAGTAGCGGCAATGAAAGAAGCAATATACCGTAGGAGTGGTGTTAACTGAGGCAGTAGCAGTAACAGTAGCAGAAGGCCATTAACTAACCTACCTATACATCTATATCTCAGTTACAGATGATAACTTGTTTTTAAACTTAAAAAAGATAGGATAGAAAACGGCGTATAAGCGATTAAAAACATAATAATTTTAGGAACGAAGAATTGACACAGCACAAGTTTAATTTTCTATCTGATTTTGAGTGTGAGATAAGTTTGAATAAAAGCATGAATGGATGTTAATTTTGTTGTGCAGTGTGAGAAGCGGCTTCATATATAGCTATATCGATAGCTTTCATAGGCGATAAGAATTCATTTTTTTCCCAGAACAGCACTAACTCCTCATCCCTGGTGTGACTGCATCTTCTTTTCTTTTAAAAAAATAAAAAAAGAAAAATGCGTCAGTCGTATTAACTGAAAAGAAAAACCGGACCTGACATGATACGACTGCACAAGATAATTCGTATTTATCAATTAAAGCAAACTGGTACCATAGAGGGTTTCTGAAGCTACCGTTTCGAGCGTTAGCCCTTAGTAAGAGTGATTGGCGTAGGGCTAACGCCCAAAATGTCAGCTCTAAAAACTCTCCTCGGTGGCCAATCTACATCATCAACTAATTTGATCTAAACAAAATTATTATTAGGCCTTTAGCTGCGCGCGCTGTTTGTTGGTCAATAGTTTTACCAAATTTTATCTTAATTTTTTTGCCCAATGGGTCAGATTGGTATGTAGATGTAAAAAGGGCGTGACCGTGATTAACGCAATTCAGTTGTTAATGAAGATAACTACTGACTTGAGTTATCATTTTATCCTCGTTAAGTTTGACTATCATAATTAACGTTTGTGACGTCACATCATCACAGCAAATCATTTTTCATTTGGAAAATCTTTGAGTTTTATGCAGAGATGATTTACAGACGAAAATGAGATGAAAGCGGTCTGGATTGTTTTATTCGCTTTTGCGATTGCCTTCTTTGGCAAAGGTAAGCAGTAATTTATGTCACGTTTACTGTTAACGATTACAGCTTGTGCTAATAAAAAGCAATTTGTCGGAAATGTCTGTTTGACAGATTGACAAGTGTACTACACACATTGAAACCTTTCTACAAAATGGCGATTGACGCCTTGTTTGCATCAGAGATTTGGAATAAAAAACGCCGAAGCTGCAAGTCGGATAAACCGAGCCTAGACGGCTAACAGAAAAAAAAATTAAATCAAAACAAAAAAACAGGGCTCTCGGTAGCTGCTATGAAAGATAAAAAACCGCAGCCATTTGCACTGATTTTCTATATACAAGTTAGTTAACTTACAAAATATTTCAGGGAATTTCAAATAACTCGGAAACAAATCGTCTCAAGCGAGACTATTACCACTGTAGTTACGTTTAGCGGGAAGAAAGATTTGGACTTTCGATCATCACTTCGAACAATGTTTTGTATTTTAATTATTTTGCTTACGCTAAATCATAATGCAAAGTTAGAAGAAAAGATACGATATTGTTATTTACTGGAATTAAAGCTCATTTGATACCAGTTAATGGAACGCAGGAAAATCATGTTCATGAAGCATCCTGGGGTATATTCTATAACAAGAATGCAATTATTTTGTTTCTCAGGGAATTCTTTGCCATCACACTATCTTAAGGAAGGACACATTTCTCCTTCATTACGTTTGGAGTCTATCAAACACAGACATAGTCGAGGTGTAGATGATTTGGGTGGGGTATTCTACGACACTCATCACGATCCTGAAGAACTAATTAGAGAGCCTGCATCTGGGGCTGATTTGGTCAAAAGGGGCACTAAAACACCTCAAGATCCAGAACACGGGTCAAGATCAGATCTCACTGAGTGGGGCTCTGGTGATACTACAAATACAGAGCCTAAAACACAATCAGACAACAAAGAATGGAGCTCTGGAGATCTTGAGGGTACGGAACTCGATTCTGAAAGAGACCCTGGAGCAATACAAGATATAGATCTTAAAGCAGAAACAGGTAACACAGATCGGAGCTCTAAAGAATGGGGCTTTGACGCAAGTCAAGATGAGGAGCCTGCAGCAGAAAACAGAGAATGGAGCTCTGAAGATCTGTCCCATTCATTTTGGATGACACAGAAACCTGAAGCAGAAAAGAGAGAATGGATTTATAAAATTCCTGAAGATACAGAACTCCTCTCAGGATGGGGCTCAGTCGCAGCTCAAGATGACGAGCCTGCAGCAGAAAACAGAGAATGGAGCACTGAAGATCCTGAGGATATGGAACTTCATTCTGGATGGGGCTCAGTCGTAACTCAGGATTTGGAGCCTGAAGCAGAAAACAGAGAATGGACCTCTGAGGATCCTG